ACATATCCAGTCTAGCTGTTAAATGTTCAAATGGCTTGCCATAGACCAATACAGCCTCCAAGACAGACGGTGGTCAGTTCGATGACAGCAGTACGGAGGCGGAGTTTCCTGATGGACTTACTAAACGTAGCTAACTGCCGCTTAAAGTAATATTAGCTGTTGTTAGCTTGTTAGCATATGTAGCAAACATTAGCTTAGGAGCCAAACCGGGGGACAAATTCAGCACTGTTGGTTATCTCGACAAGTATTTAGACAACTATTTTTACAGTAATCATGTAAATATGAGGAAGCAGACAGCCCTCTGCTTTCCTTTTGTGTGAACTTTAAACAATAAAAGATTCTTAAATTAGATAATGTTAGCAAAATGTTAGCTAATCAGCTAACTAAAGATTCACATAATTAGCTGGCTAGTGTTTTACTCTGAAGTAAGATGCTAGCTAGCTAATGATTGATGTAGATTAGCTCCCTAGTATTTTACTCTGGAGTAAAATACTAGCTTCAAAGTCCTTCACTCTTGGAAGAAGTGAGGAACTTGCAGTCTACATTTACACCACTAGATGCCACTAAATCCTACACACTAGACCTTTAACCATCTTCAAAATTTGGTTGTCTTTTTAGTGTAGACGAGCCTAGCACATAAGGAAAGAGCACAGAGCAAAAAGGGGTGGGACTTAAGAAGGTTTGACAAAACAATCTTACCCTAAGGTCCCTTTATTTGTATGTTTTGCCAGTTGCTGTTTTCAACTTTAAACTCAACATAGACCAGAAGTCCTTAAAGTGCTAATAAATAGGAAATCTGAACATCTACCGTCCCATAACAACCGGGCAAACTCCAGCTGCTGATGAAGATCATGTGACATAACTCAGAGTTCCAGAACAGCCGCTCAATGAACCTTGGGGTGAGATTGTTCTGTCAACAGCTGTTTTAAATGTCAAGAAAATACTATGAACCTAAAGTACTGTTAAATCATCCCATTGAAGTGAAGGGAACTCTCTTTTACTTTAATTTCATGATAATCGCAACTGAACACAAATACCTGTTGTGTTTATGCACCACGTTGGCTATAATTTATTTGTGTCACATTCAGAAGATTTAATGAGTACCATTTATATTTTACAGAATCCCTTCCCCTCATATTTGATTTAGATTATCATAGATCATGCATAATTTCAATAAGAGCCCTAAAAATAGTCCCAACTCTGTGTTTCCAAATTTTTCTAGAGACAATTAAAATGACAACGTATTGTGTGCCTACACTCAGAATAATACAAAACATTTATACTGCATCAGAGAAGTGGCTGTAACATGTGCTGCTCAACACTGCATTCCATTTTTCTCATGCTGTGTATGATGCCATCCACTGGCCATAAGTGGAAAAGCATCCTCTGATTCCATTTACACACCACACAGGACAAGGCTACTTAAAATGCCTTTATTTCCTATGATTACATTTTGACAACACACAGATATGTCCTGACCACATCCCATATTTTGGTTCCCTTGAGTAATTCTACATAGAATGATATATGAGTACAAGTTTGTTGGTCTTTTTGTTCCCTTTTTTTTTTTTTTTGCTGGAAAACATGGATTTTGTACGGAAATAAATCATGCATTTCACAAAAAGGCACAACTATTGACACACCTCTACAACAAGACAAAAACAAGAAGAGTCAAGAAAGACGTTCAAGCATTTCCCTTGTCTGTGTTGCTCTAAAAGTGAATGCGTGATGAAATAAGATGAAGATCAAGTCTTTGGATGTTCTGTATCATGGCTATGTTCACATAAGAGGACTAAAGAGGAACCATTATTGAAGCAGCAAGGTTGGCAGTATTGCATTGCGAATGTTGTTCTGCACTGTTCGGGTCTGCTCTGTGCTCAAGATAGCTTGTGAGACCCAGGAAGACGGGGATTTTGTTGCCTGCATTGCAGAAAAGTGACAGACTAGTCCATTAACAGAACAGCAAAAACAAATACAGGCTCTATTGGTCCTATTGCAAATACACAAAATAGCAGACAGAATCTGATGGCAGCCCATATACGTTGATGAGAGTCAGTATATTAACTCACCCCAAGAAAAGGATGACCTGACACACTTTGTATAAAAGGATGTAACGTGGTGATCCTCCACAATAAGATCTGAACGTAAATTTGAAACCACATTGTGGAAATCTTCAAAATAGACTTGATATTAAAAATGGTAATAATGTGTCTCGTATGTATTCCTCTCAGTCCCTCGAACATAAAGAGATAGCTACATTATACTCTAAAATATGGACTGTCATGAAGATTAGGATTGTTTATCTTCATGCACTGTAAATAAAGGTTTATCTAACAGTGAATGACAGTGACTCAGAAGAGCAGACGGGGTAAACAAATCCCCACATTAGAAATGTCATGGTAGACACAGCGTCCATATCTCAGAGCATGCACAAGTGACACAGCTCATCCCATTGCAATCCATTAGTAAAACTGTTCATTCATGAAGTGACATTTATAATGAAAGGATTATTGATTGCTTAGTAACATGAACTACTTAACGGGTCTGCATCAATAATATGCAGATCTATTCCAGTGAAGAAATAACAATAATTTAAAAAAGAAATTACAAAGTTGGGTTCATTTTATATGCAAATTGCTGACTTCTGACATTTCCCATGTTAAAAAGCATAATCAAACATGTGAGAGCAGGTTTATTCGAATAGCAATAAGATGAGATCCACATTAATGAAATACGGAAGGAAAAAGGGGGCTACAAGTCGATTAAGTCGTCCACTGTATCTATAAACTAAGACTCGACACCCATCTGGCAGGAGTAAATGAAGGAAACACTTACGGTACACTGAGATAGAAAATCAAGGAGCCAGCAAATATTCTCCTCTTTTTCAAATATATACAGTTTACTGGTCAGCGACCAACACATACTGTATAACAAGTGCAAGCAAAAATCAACAATAATTACATGACTTGTAGCCCAAGCATACTGTAACACTGGATTTAGCACAGAGGACACATACAAAGGGTGACAGAAAACCAGACAATCATGCAACATCATGGCAAACTAAGTGAGTTTTTACAGATGATACACAAAGAAACCCTGCTTTAATTCGAGGAGTTAAAGGAGCCTGTGAACCCTAACATGGATTATTCAGACACACATTCAGTCCCATTCAGCAAAAATACATACACTTTGCAGTCAGTGCATACTCTTTTTTACTCCGTTTTATTATCAAAAAGGACACAGAACACAAACACACATACACAATATAATTATGGTTCCTCTTTAAAACATGCTGCTATTTACATCATCTTGTAAATACATGCTGTAGCCTATTAACAAATTTGCGTGATGCATAATGTTAACAATAGGAAGAAGTAATATTATGTATGGACCAATCAATGTGCTGCTGTTCACCCTCCTGCAGAATTATTTTTTACTTCTGGTGACATCATGTCCTATTGAAGCAAAGAAAGTCTGTAATAATACCAATTTAACACCTAAATCTGAATAATAAATTGAATCTCTACGAATACTTAGTCAGATTTTAATACCACTGAAATTATAGAATTGAAATATTTTTTCTAATCTAATCTTTCTGAATTCATACTGTTTAAATTCACCTCAGGTCATCTCAAGTTGTGCAATTGTTTGTCTGAAATACACCTTCACTGACACCAACCATTCTTTAAAATTGTTGTTATTTTTCTGCATTAGTTGTAAAATAGTAGATACCTTCATAATTTTCTTTTTTTATACAAAACATGGTATAGTGATTCTGGGATCTTTTTTCAGGTTTGTTAAATTTTCATTAGTACCATTAATGTTAGGTAAAGCCTGACATTTCAATCATTTTCTAACTATTGATTATTGTGAGAGTAAATATACTAAAGATCAGCATCACATCAATTTGTAATCCTATTTGTGTGTTCATTTTACTTCTAGATTTCTTCATTTTTCTGTTTTAAATCATAATTTTATATTTTTTAACAGCAGTTCCTCCTAGGGTAAATAAAATACCTCTGGTTGGGAATTACTGCTATAGGACAGAGGTCTGATCCTTTCATTCAGGCTCAATTGGTTATCCTGAGTAAACTGAATTTTTAAATCCACCACATGAATTCAGAGTAAAAATATTTGAATGCTATAAATTCAGTTGTATTAACATTTCAGTATTAAGTATTCAGTGGTGATTAAACATTAGGTGTTGAGTTGCTTATAATATTCAAATCTTCATGGCATTGTTCGCCTCCGTACCTCTGCACTTCACAGTAACGCAGGATGTCTGTGATGAACTTGTACCACCACCATGTTGCAGCACTCCAGGTTTACAAAGCTTGCGGCTGATGAGTGAGCGATCCAAACAACATGAAATACTGTGGGGCATGATACATGCTAGATTCTGCAGCTCTATTTGGTTCAAGCAAATGGTCCAAGATATGTTTATTGTATTATATGTTTGATGTAGCACTTGTCCTGTTGAGATTTTACAAACCTGCATTCTGTACTTGAATTCTCGTCATCTTAAAAAGTGCAGCTACATCTTACATTTTAAATTCAATTCTCTATAAAAACATCTTGTCTTTGACAGAAATCCTCATGTTGTTTCATCAGAAGCTATTAAAGTATTGAAGAGTAGAGTAGTAGTAGTAGAGTATGTTTGGTAAACTACAACAATCTTCAGAGAAAGACATATAATCCGTTTAAGGGATATCAAAACAAAAATATGTTAGATGGCACTGTTTTCAGGTAGCAAGTTAAAAGAAGCATAGTCATAATTGGATTGAACATCATTGGTAAGCCTTCCAGTATACTTACTTTGTCCACAGATAAGTAAGCTTTTACATCCAAGTGGTCAACAAAGCTCAGGA